GTTCCGGGGAGCTGGGCTTGGGAAGAAGCCACTGAACGTGGCAAGGAAATTTATCCTCCCAAAATGCCTCTCCTGTGATTTTTAAGGCACTGGCTGCACGTGACCATAACCAGCACTGCAGTTCACTCCTGACACCCAGTGATGGCAGATTCCAGATTCGTGGAATGGTTTGGATTAGAAGGGACCTTAAAGACCATTTAGTTCCAACCCCCTGCCATGGGCAGGGACACCTTCCACTATCCCAGGTTGCTCCAAGCCCCATCCAACCTGGCCTGGAACCCAGAGCAGACAGAACGTACCTTCAGCCGCTTCTCCAAAAATCTTGCCCCACCATCAGATCCATAGGAAAATTCATATGGGAAGCTCCAGTCACGAACCAGGAATATAAGGGACTGGAAAACAGAGCCAGAGAACAGTGGGGTCAGTGTTATACAGCACCCACCAAGTCACAGTGAGCTGCTGCTTGGAGTCCACAGCGGTGGCTGAACCCCACCAGCACCTTCACCCCCATCTTATGCCACAACAAAACCTTGCCCTGAGTCTTTTCCCAGCTCCAGCAGCATCTCCTGCCTTTCCTGCCACCCCATCATGGCACTGAGACCGTGCAGACGAGAAAAGGGGGGCAGCACACCCCAAACTGCTGCACCAGTTTGACTCCCTGGCAGGGAGAACATCATCAATCATTTCAACTGCACAACAGGGGAAGAGATTGTTGGTAACCGGGACAAAAGGCAGCGAGCTCCCTAATTCCAGCCACATTTAGTTCCATCCTATGGGAATTTTACAGGCTCATTTTTTTTTTCAGCCTTTTTCACTGGGCAGCCTTCCAGACAGACTTTTAATGAGAAGCAGATGCAGAGGAACGAGGGTGAATAAGAAATCACTGTCTTTTGTAATCTTTATGGAGGCATTCAAAGTTCCTGGGCAAGAAATAAATAAATACCAGAAGGGTCAACTCTGAATCTTTAAATGAAATATTTTCAGAAGAAATCAGGTCTCCAGTGTCTCGTGTGTGGAAGGGATCAACATCCCATGCAAGAAATAAAGGGTTTGGAGGGGGAAGTCCAGGAAGGTCTGGCAGGGCTGCCAGGGCTCCTCTCATGCACATGAATAAGCAGGTCAGCAAGTGGAATCCAATTCATTGGAATTTCCCTAAAATTCGCCTATGTTTAGAACAAAAATCCAGTGGAGGGAGGGGAAATATTTCTGCTCTTTATTTCTCTTCCATAAAACATCAGAAAAGGTTAAAATAAAACAAAAAAAAAAAAAAAGGAGAGAACAGTGAGCTGGCCTTTTCTAACCACTGCACCCAGTGAGCTGGTTGGGGACACGCTGTTCTTTCGAAGCCCATGAGATGCTTAAGAGACATGTCCATGTTCAGGACTTTTCCACAAACACATTGTGCACGCCTTGAATTGGGAATTATTTTTTTTTTTCCTCCTCAAGTAAAGTTGTTCCAGATGGGCTGTGTTTGCCAAGCAGAGCGACAGGCACCCCTTCTGTGAAGGCACCACAGTCAGGGCTGGTGTCTGGTGAGGGCTCCTCGGTGTGAGGACACACTGTGGAGAGGAGGGAGCTGAAGGAAAATGTTGATTTTCCACTGCCAAGTCTCACTTCCCTTCCAGCAGGATCAGTGAAACTGCAGTTTTTTTACTGTCATACTTGGAGGATCATGGAACAAAAGAGTGGTTTGGGTGGGAAGGGACCTAAAAGTTCATCCAGTCCCACCACCTGCCATGGGCAAGGGACACCTTCCACTAGCCCAGGATGCTCCAACCTGGCCTGGAACACTTCCAGGGATCCAGGGGCAGCCACAGCTTCTCTGGGCAAACCTGTGCCAGGGCCTCCTCACCCTCATATTTCCTGCTTCCTAATCAAAAAACCTCATCTGTCTTTAAAAACATGTTTTGGAGGAACGAGCCCGTGCTGGGATGTGGACAGGAGATCTCCAGAGCTCACCTGGGCCACATCACCATCAATCCTTCGACCAGATTTTGTCACATCCACAAGCAGTTGCTTGATATTTCCCCCCAGATCATTACTGAAGATGACACTGAACCAGAGAGAGCCTGGGGGGACCCTGAGGAAACACTTCTGAAGGATGATCATTCCCTATTAAAATTAGTTCAGCGTGCTCTGGCATCTATCAGTTAATGAGTTTTTAATCCATTAACAATGGACTAAACCAGACAATGCTGACTTCATTTGCTTTTAATCAGCATCTTAGGGAGATAAGGCTTAGAGAAGGAGATACAACATGGTGAGAGTTACCTTTATCAACCAAGCCCGTGCCTTTTAAAAATTGATAATGGGATTGTTTGACAAGACTCACCATCCACCAACTGTGTGACTTGACAGCAATTAAAGTCTTTGGTAAAATCAGAGCCTATTATCCAGCCCTAATGATTTAAGCATATTTAAGTTTCCCCTTACAGCCCCCTTTTTACTGATGGAGTAGGAATTATCTCACTTTCACTGGAATATTTGGCTGCATTATCCCCACAGTTTTTAAATAAGGAGCAGGGATATTTATTTAACGTCTGGCTTTCTGCTCTACCATGTTACAACTTTCTTCAAGCTCTTGCTACTACAAGTCCTGTATTTTTACTGGTAGTTTTCACATCCTTTATCAGTCATCTGCCCATGCCAGCATCCAATAGACCCTTAAAATTCCCCCAAGATCTCAATTTTTTCCATTTGTCATAATTTTTGACCTTTTGATTTCACCTCCACTTCCTGACCACAGACAGCCTATAAACCCCTCAGTCCTTCCAGGACAACAATTCTTTTTTTGTGTTGGAAAGCAAATGTAAAATAGCTGCAACCCATTCCCAATCACTCTGAATTTTTGCAGCACGTTTTGTTCTCTGCTATTTTCCACTTTGGGAAGTTCACAAACCCCCATCCAACTACCCTCTCACCTACTGTGGATGCCCAAAGCTCTCCTTTTTTTTGAACAGCAGCTTTTCACAGGTTGGGAAGCAGCAGGGTGAACAGATGTCCCTTATTTGAAGCTAAAACCCCACTTAAACTGAGCTTTCCCACAGCTCTGCTAATCTTTGTCCTTTCATTTTGCCAGGAGCAGGGATTCCCTGGCAAAAGCTGGGCAGAGTCTCCAAGTACAGAGTGTGACAAACCTGCAGCAAAACCAACTGCTCTCCAGTCCTGGCAGGACAGGGCAGAGCTCTTGGGAAGGCAAGGGTTCAGGGAGGAAAGAAAGAAGGATGTTGGAAGTATTCAGAAGCCTCTCTGGGGGCAGCAAAGCACAAAGCCTTTCCTTGGAGCAGCTGAGCCCATCCCAGGGCAATCCCATCTCCTCCCATCCTGCAGTGACACCTCGTGGTGAAGCCAACGGGCCCAGGGACAAGAAAGCTGGCCGGGACTCACCTGGAAAGGCTTCTGGAATGTCTCCTCCATGGCCAGCCGGCCATACTCGGTGAAAAGCTGGAAGGAGAAGGAAAGAACAGGACAGTCAGCTGGGCTGTGGGATACATGGGAACAGCACCGAGCTCTGCTCTGTGTGAGCAGGGACAGGACCTGAGGGAACGGCTGGAGCTGTGCCAGGACAGGGTGAGGGTGGATCTCAGGGAAAGGTTCTTCCCCCAGAGGGTGGTTGGCACTGACCAGGCTCCCCAGGGCAGTGAGCACAGCCCCAAGGCTGCCAGAGCTCCAGGAGGGTTTGGACAACGCTCTCAGGGACTCTGGGATTGTTGGGGTGTCCTGGGCAGGGCCAGAGGTTGGACTCGATGATCCTTGTGATCCCTTCTAGCTCAGGGAATTTTATGATTCTGTGAAGGAGTAAGGGGCATTTACGATCCAGGACTAACAGCTCCATGTGCAGAGCTGGAACAAAAACTGGCTCTGGGCTTCCCATTCCCATCCCAGAGGCACCCGGAGCCGTTACAGATAATCACCGCCCTGAGCCCTCACGTGAAAGGTCTCAGCCTGGAGGGTTTGGCTGCCAAATCTGTGCAAAATGGCTCAAGTCAGCTGCTTGCTGCTGCTTTCATACCAACCAGAAACTTCATGTGCTCCAAGGGAACTGCTGGAGCCCTGCTCCCTCTAAACACTCCAGGAACGAGCGGAAATGAATTCAGGAATAAGAACTTTCCCGCTGTGCAAAGACTCTAAAATCAGCCTACAAGCAAGATTTGAAGACTCTCCAGTCTTTCTGGACTCTAATTTCAAACTCAAGGCACAGTAATGTATTTCACAGATGCCTAAAAGTGGGTCAACTTGTTGAACAGTAATGGCTTAAAATCCAAACTGGAAGATCAGAGTTGCACTGGATAAATTCAGTGTTAAAAAGGTGTTATTGTTAATAATATTTACAGACTGAAATAATTCAGAAGTCTTCAAATGATGATTTCTTTCAGCTGGACTTTTGCTTTTCTTTCCTTTTCCTTAAGCTCCTGAAAAAACCTACCTAACCAATCAATCAATCAATCACCTAAACAGAAGGGAAAGCAGGAGGTAATTCCAGGAAATGGGCAGGACACCTGTGCCACAAAAATCCCATTAGCTGCTTTTCTCCAACAGCCAGGGCTGGAATTGCCCCTAGGGGGGTCACCTGTACTGAGCCAGTACCAGATGGCAACATCCAGGCTTCTAATTTACAGTCATGGAATAGAATCCCAGAATGGTTTGGATTGGAAGGAAATTTAAAGATCATCTGTTTCCAAACCCCTGCCATGGGCAGGGGCATCTCCCACTATCCCAGGTGGCTCCAAGCCCTGTCCAACCTGGCCTGGAAGGGGATCCCTGGATTCCAGGGATCCAGGGGCAGCCACAGCTTCTCTGGGCAACCTGTGCCAGGGCCTCACCACCCCCACAGCCA